GAAGCCGGCTGCGATTTTGTCTCCTTCCAGGTCATCTAGCAGCTTGTTGATAGCCCCACACACACACACACACCCCAGCCCAAGAATTCGCCCCGCGGTCTAGCTGCCCGAGCCTCGAAATTACGGGGAGCACTCAAGCAGCTTGTGAGCCACCAGGCTGCAGTTCATTAGCTCCGCTTAATTTGCCATTTCCAATCAGATCTCTTCCAAAATAGCTCCTGAGCAGGCCGAACAACCAAAGGGAATGGGCGCCAGTGGGAAATGAGGTGTGGGAAGTGAACAGGGCTGCACAGCGTCTGAATGGTATCTGCCCCAAACCCCGCCGGCAAGCCGGGGGTGAGCCGCGGGGTCTGCCGAGGAGGGCCAGCCTGGGGGTCCACGGGGTCCCGCTGGTCCTTAGAGGTCATCTTGCCAGTTTAGAGGCGCATGCACCAGAGCCCCAACTCCTCCGCATCAGTAAATAAATGGGTATTAAAAGCTATCGGGTTTTTTAGCTCACTCATGGTGAAATAAAAGCCTTTTCGTACTCGTGGGTAGTGTAGTTTTAAAAGTGGATTTTGACTTCTGCTCCTGATGCAGGACAACGCAACAGACTCAGCCTGGGCCGCTGGCTTTGCACTTGAGCATCTATTGACTCTTGCAGCAATGGGCAGGAATGAAAAAAGGCAGGGGTTGTGGCATCGGATACAAGTACTTGCCACTGCTGTTAGCATATAGAGATGGTTCATGTGGTTTTAGACTCAGTTCTTCAGCCTGTATTTGGTAGGCAGGGCTTTATATGCAGTGGATACAGAATGAGCTGAGCTGGGCATCGAGCTGTCTCCAGAAAGAGACTTTATTTCCAACAGCATTTTGTCAATTCAAAAGAAGTGCTGGGGCAATCAAAAATGAAACGTCTCTCTCTCTCTCTCTAAAAATACTGTGCAGTGCAAAGCACATCTTCTAAGCACGGAAAACACCATGAGAGGGACTATGCATACTTAATATGGTGACCTGAGGTGTCTTCAAAGATCAGTGTCGAGTTGTGCCACACCTGATGTGCTTTTATTGTTTCACAGGCAAAGTAATAGTTCTATCATTCGATCAAATTCCCCAACAACAACATCTCAGATTATGGCCAGAAAGAAAAGAAGAGGGGTACGTTGCATTTAATTCTTTTCCCGTGTGACAATTTGCATGTGTGCTGTGATTTTGCCCTTCAACATTTTTTATAAACTTAATATGTTTTGTTTTTTGGGAATAGATTATAGAGAAAAGGCGCCGTGATCGTATAAATAACAGTTTATCAGAGCTGAGGCGGCTTGTGCCAACTGCTTTTGAAAAACAAGTAAGCCCTTTTTTTTTTTTTTAATTCTGTATCTCATTTGGCGATGTTAGTTCTCTTGTAAAACTCATTAAAATAATATTGTATGTGTCCTGATCTGGCACAAGGCAGGCAGTTCAGTAAAATGCTTTCTTGTGGCAAAACTATTAGAAACATAATTCACTATAAGGCTGAAAAACATTTCCATTCTTTGGCTTGTTTTTCCCTTAAGGGTAACTGTGTTCATATTGCCTCTGTTCTTTCGACGAATTCCAGTAGTGGTTTTGTTAAAAATGCGCTTTACTCCATATTTTTTTAAAAAAGACTCGGACCCAACACAACTCCCCCAAACCTGTATATCAGTTAGCCTTCTGTCTAGACTGTTAAACATAATCTCCTTTGCCCCTACTTCAAGAAACTTTTATTTTTTTAATCTGGATTATTCACATTTTAAGATAACTGTACAAGCAGGGCATTAGGAGAGGGTATAGGCCCATGACATGTGAGGTAGTAAAGCCAGTGATATGTTCAAAGACTTCCAGTGAGAAAGTGTTCAGTGGAAAGGCTGGAAAGATCCAGCTAACTTTGGTTCAGCTCCTTGGTCATGAAATTACAGACCAAAGCTTAGAATACAATCTGTCCTGTAAAAAGGGGCATTTTGTTTATGCCATTCCAATTAAACTATTTTTTTACTTTTCCATATCTTGATTTTTCTTTTTTGGGCTTTGATTCACTATTTAGCCTTGCTCCTGCTTTACTGGAGGTATTTGAAGATCTATGGATATGGGCAATTGATACTGTATTTCAATAAAAAGGAACCAGCTGAAAATAAAGAACCTGACTCCCTTGCAATAGTAAAACAAAAAACAGAAAGTAAAATTTGAGAGCAGGATTGTGAAGTGCTGAATGTCAGTGGTAACTGTGTGGCAAGCACCGTACCGTGTTAGGCCTGTTACATCCCTGGTCTGAACAAAAGCTCAAAAGAAATTTTAAATATTGTAATCACGGGGAGATCATTACTTGTGTCACCTGCAAGATGCCTTTAATAACTAGTAGCTGTAACTGTGCCCTTCCGTAGGTTCTGGCAAAACAGTGGCAGAGGTATTTTCAGCTAGATAAACATGGGCAAGAGACAACAGTTGTTTGTCCCATTTTATTGTTTACTTCTTGAAAACCACAAACATTATAAAGCAAGTCCTACAGAGCCTTTGGAAATTACCCAGCACCATGCAGTTTTTAGCTATTAGTCACTCTCACTGAGACAGCTTGTCCTGTGTCTGTGGAAAAGATGAAGCCTGAGAAAACTACAGGATGTAGTCGCATGTAAAATGAGGAGTTCTGAGCAAAAATTCACATGCGCACCAACCTTTGTATGAGGAAAGCGCTGAAAGCAATAAGCGGATTGAGGAAAATGTATTGGCGTAAAAATGAGCACACGCGGTATTTTAGTCAGAAAGCCCCACCATTTTTCTGCAATATGCCAAGGACAAAGTCATCAGTCCTTTTCCAGCTCCTTGACATTCAGCTCACTGAAGTTTCCAAGTTGGAGGTTTAGTTTCGCTTCCGCCTCACTCCCTCCCTCCCTCCCCAAATCACAGCTCTGCTCTCCTGAGTCCCTCTCAGAGATAAGTGCTGGCAAAGTGAGGCTGTGGAGGAGGGTGTAAGCCTTACCTAACCTGCACGTGTGCGACCTCGGCGAAGCCGCCTGAGACGGCAGGATGGCCGAGACCAGTGAGGTGGCCCAGGTGATAACTAAGAGAAAAATTTGGCTTGCAGGATGCGATCCGCTGGTGGCTGCAGCTTGTGCAGCCTTGGTTTTAGCTGATGCCAAGGGACTGTCCCTTGCACTGGAATAACATTTGCGTGGTAAACTCAGTTGTCTGGGTGTGCTCCAGATATTGAAGGGAGTGCTACCATCCAAAATAGTTTTATTTATAGATTATAGCCACCCTCAGTAACAGAAAAGATTTTTACTGAGGAGCTAAATTCTTTCTTTTTCACAGCATTTAGTTTCACATCCCTGCAAACTAGGTCGCTCGCCAACTTAAAATACTGTGGACTGTGTGCCTGTGTTTTCAGTCGAGGATGAGAATAGAATATTCAGCAGCCAAATGACATGTCGAAAATTAACGGGCGATTAAGAAAGAGGGATACTTCTGGCTGTGTGTCCACAGGGACACCTACTGGTAAAAGCAGAAAAAAAAAAAGTTGCAGAAGGGTCTTCATCGACAACTGTGCAGACCTGTCCTGCCAGCTCTGCATTTATTTTTGCTGTTAAAAAGAAAGTCCAGAAAGTTACGTATTTCTCTCATTTCATGAAGATGTCATCTCTACACTATCTTCAAGGCCACAGCTACGCTGAGCTATAGCCTTAATAAAGCAAAATTGTGCTGCTGCTGCTGCTTGTATCACTGGAGGGGAGATGGCATTAGTCCTTAGACAGTCTGGGAGGCAGATGCTCATGGAAGAATTAAGCTGAGAATGTCCTAATGATAGGGGAAATTGAAACCATAAGGCTGAGCTCAGCGGAAAGTATACCAAATTAAAGTTTCTTGTAAGCCTTTATTTATGTGTCTCTTATCTCAAAGGGATCTGCCAAATTAGAAAAAGCGGAAATACTACAAATGACAGTGGATCATCTGAAGATGCTGCAGGCAACGGGAGGTAAAGGTAAGGAGCCGACAGTTTCTTTTTGAATATTTGGGGAAATCTCAGGAAAAAAAAAAAAAAAGTGCTTTGAGGAGCTGTGATAGGCGTTTCCAGATTAAAGGAGTGGAAATCAATGCTAATAGCAGGATTGAACTCGTGGGAAAGAACTACTGGGACAAAAGAAGCACTTGACCCTGGGCTTGTGTTTGCTTTCATAACACTGTGGGAGTAAAGGCTTCATTCACAGGCAGCCCAGTCAGAGATTTGTTTGGGGTTTCCAAAGAGCACTGAAATCTGCACAGGGAGACAAAACAAATACACAAACACCAAACATAAACAGGAGGTTTGTGGCAACAATTGTGTAGCACAAAACCGATGCTAAACCTCATTATCCAGCAGCTATACCGAAGGAATTGGATGGAGACGAACTTTCATTATCATTCATATATTTTCTTTGTTCTGGAAAGACTTTTAAATGCCAGGTTAGACTGTCTCCTTCACCAGAACAAGACCCTGTCCTGCTCTATGCAGCTCCAGGTACCTGATAAAGCAGACAGGCAGATGGCTAGCGGGGTGCTCTGCACTCATATCTATGCGCTGAGTTGTGTGTCAGCGGTCTGGGTCGCTCCCTGGTAGTGGGTGCTGGCATGACGCAGGGGCTGCACTGGCTGACCTACCAGATCAGCCGACTGCCGGGAGTCGAGCGTACCTCGCTTGTGCAAGCTGACAGGGCCGAGGCTGGAGGCCAAATTATTTCAGCCACCCACGAGGTATTCTGTGTAGTCATGATTTTGGAACTTATTTGGAGTGAAAAACTTGCTGGCCTCCCATAATCACGGTCCCACATCCCATGCCATCGACCATGGTTATAGTTCAAATTGTTGCAGTGGAAACTGGTTGATTTTTCATTGACCCACTGTGCCATACAGGTAAAGAAGCTGGTGCTGCTCACTCTCTTCCTTTTTTGATTAAAGTTTTTAGCCCATGACTGAATTACTGCTCATTTCTGTACCTTAGTGATTATGGAATTCAACTTATAATCAGTGCATGCTTAACAACAAACAGTTATAAGAAAGGCTAGTATTTTGTTATTTGTGAAAATTAACACCAGTCTGACATACGTGATTTCTAGGTGTTAAGAGGCTTTGCTAGGAGTCCGTTTAAGCTTAAAATTTATGGGTAACTTTTTCTACAAGAGGTGAAGGGAATTTTATGGCCTTTCATGTAACAGACACACCTTTTGGTTCCTTGGAAAATGTGTAAAATTAAAAAAAAAAAAAAGTTAATTTTTATGTCTAAAACCATCCTTTTAAAAGCACTACTTAGTTGGTAAAGCCACATTCTTGAAAGTTACGAAATGCCGGAACTGATTGTGCTTGTGCAATTCGAATTCAGATCCTCTGTGCGTGTGCGTGATGGTGTCGTCTTTAACTGCGTGGTTGCATGCAGGCTTTCCACAAGCTCTGTCTCACTCGGGGCACGGGGCGAACAACGCTCAGCTGCTGAGGGAAACGGTGGCGGCTTCGCTTCGTTCTCCCTGCGTGACCTGCAGCTCAGGTATCCCTGCTTCATGCTGCACATCATTCCTCTGAAAAGCTGCAGCAGCTCCCACCCCCCCAATGTCTGCACTGACAGCAGGAGGGCCAGGAGATAAACCCAATAGGAGGTCTAATTTAATAGGAACCCTCCTTCCCCTGCCTCCCCACCCAAAAAAAGTATGTGGGGGATTATTTTATAGCTAGGTCAAGGATGAGTGGCCCAGCTAGTGGGGCAGGGGACGAAGTGCCTGGGATGGGAGCTGCCGAGTGGAGAGAGGTGTCGGCAGAGCCCCAACCTCCGGCTGCGGCTGGACAACCTGGATTTTGTTAGCAGTCTCAGGTCCTGAGGTGTCTTCCTTGGTCTGTCACCGCCACACTGCCTCTCCCTGCCCCAGCTGACACTGGCATGCCTGTGGCTGCTGGAGGGTGGTGCAGGGAAGGCCAAAGCGTCAGGGTGCAGGGAGAAGCGATGCTGGTTTCTACCTGCAGCCTCCTTCCACGCCTTGGTCCGTACTGGGTGGTACATCAATGTATCACGCAATTGCTTCAGAAATACTAAGACTTTATCTTCTTCTGACCCAGAGATAAGTGTAATCTCACTGCACGGATTAAGAAACTTTAAGAAAAAGAGGTTTGCGTGTTAGTACCGGACAAAGTTTAAGCCTGTGTTTCCTGCTTGCTTAATGTTTTACTTTGCAACCTTTGAAGTAACAGCTTTAAATACAATTTCTTAGGGTGTTTTTAAGGCAGATGTTTGTTTTATTTGCAAGTGTAGTTATTCCCACTTTGTAACTCTTCCAAGCCAGAAACTTTTTTGGATCAGCGAACAAATAAGTTCCATCATTTTTCCTATGGACAAAAGCTATTATTCCAGCAAGGAGAAACCCTTATGCTCCCCTGCATTGAGGGTTGGGCAGAGCTCATCCTCTTCCTCCTCACACAGAAATGGAGGACACCCACAATGGGGAATGCCTGGGGCTAAGCAAGCCAGGGTGGATTTGGCCACTGCTCAGCATGCTGAGCCCAAGGTGGGCACGGCGGAAGAAACCGCGACGTGGCTCCTGTCCCTTCTCTGCTTTTCGGAGCTGCCCGGGCTGGCAGGCTGCTGCCTCTGAGGTCCTCTGCAGGCTCTGTGTTTCCACTGCCCTGACCTAGGTACAGGTAATGGTCTTCTGTACACGTCGGGTTATTATTTTGGCCTGGGGCCAAGGCTTTTTGATGACTGTGCACGCAAGAACAGGGGAGGAGTAATTTGTCAACAGCGAGTCACTTGCTGGGACCTCGGTGTGGTTTTATTGCAGTTTCACTGCAAATTTAGCTTGGATGACTGGCACCTGGGTCAGCAACATGGGTTAATATAGCTCAGATGACTTAGCCGGAGTCCTGCATGCACAGCAGGTGGGTTACCAGGATGGCTGAAGGAAAACTGAGACTTCCCGTTTGCTACAAAATGCCAATGTGTACGCATGTGGGTGGTGGTGAAGGACGTTCTTGGGTTTTAGAAAGAAACGAGAAACAACATTTTAAGTCTCTTTCAGAAGGGGGAAGCCAGTAAAGGGGAAACCTGGAAAAGATAACCATCAAAATCAAAACATAATGGAGCCTGGGAGTCCCAGCTCTCATCTCCCCTCTGTTTTCATGTCTCGGCCACCATGGGAGACTGAGACGGAGCCAGGATCACCAGGGCTTTGGGATGGCTCGTCACAGAGCCAGCGGCTCAGACTCAGGGGAAACTGGTGACAACCACATCCCCCACGTCTCCTCCGGTCTGGAGGGAGAGAGGCCGGGAAGCCCTGGCTTCAACCACGCGCTCTCAGGACTCCCAGGCTGACTGACTCATGGCCAGAGCCAGGAGGCAGCTTTGGCTGCACGTCAGCCCCTCTGAAGCTGCCGGAGGTCCTGGAGCCTCCGGCATGGAAGCAGTCTCCGTGCCAGGCTGGCTGGCACCCGAGCAGGTACCCTGCTAGCTCACCATTGCTGGCCTGCCTGCCATTTGTTTCTTGGGAGTTCACTCAAGCTGTGGCGTTTCCACAGATCTCTTGGTCACAGCGGACCTGGCAGGAAAAAGCTGCAAGGAATCAGCGCTTGCTGAGATAAGTCCTCGACCCCTTGTGCTCACTGATCAACTGGCTGAGCCGATGTTTCTCTTGGGTTTTGTACAGCCTCAGATGAGCAAGGCAGCCTGCATCAAAATTGCTGTTGTAATTTGGCAAGAAGGAGTATATAGCAGGCAGGGGATTTGGGGCAGCGTCTACAAATGCCCCCAAGTTAACTCTATAATGTGGGCATGCAGCAACAGAAAGGCTCTTTTCTTGCTTGAAAGATGATAAAAGTGAAAACAACTATCTAAGGTGCTAGCAATTTTCAGAAAGACTGAGATTATTTCTTGACAGAGAGTGCAAGGCCTAATGCAGGTATTGCTGCCACATTGCTCCATAATAAGGGTACGTGATCTTTATACACTGACACACATCATAGTCATGCATACCTAAAAATTTGCACTGAAAGCAAGAGGAAAAAAATGCCATACCCTCTTGAGAGTGGGTAGGACATTATTCTCCCAAGAAGACTACTTTTAAACTAAAATAGGAAAATTCCAAAAATTGGAATAGGCTTTTTTAGTTGACAAGCTGCAACTTAAGCACCAGATTTGATGCTAGACCCATTTTCAAAGGGAATATCTTTTCATGTGCATTTAATAAGACTTTTTTTTTTTTTTTTCTGAATTGCTTTTTTGTCCCAAGCCTGTGGAGCTCCAGTTGCTGTTTGTTGAAATACCTCATGGGCCATATGACTGTCAGTCTTCCATCTCCAAATTAGCAATGGCATTACATAAAACGTTTTCTCAGTAAAGCTTTTTATTGTGTGTGTGCAGAGTCATGACAAGATGTTTTTAGTTTGTAGTTAAGTAACACCGTATGTCATATTGTCTTAATGACTCTGTGAAGTAGACGGAACCCCGGCAGCAGTTACGACTATCTCACAATGTCAAGAAATAGTTTGAGAGCATTAAGATGAATGCCAGCGTAGGGAAGAAAAGGCAGGGTAGTACACATAAGCTCTCTGATCTCCAGCCTGTTTCTTTGTGTGGATAAGCGTCTCATTCACAAACACACACGGGATCAATACTGCAGTGCAGCAGCTTGCTGAGGAATTTCAGGAGAGGCATTGCATGTATTTTCAAGTATCACAAGTACTTACGTACTTAATACTTATCACTTGTATATTGTCTGCAAAAACAACTGCAGCCCATTGCGTTACAGGAATGGTCACACAAATCATTTACAGATCAAAGAACAAACTTTTTGTGTTGCAAATCTTAACCTGTAAATGGGAGATCCGGTGGCTGAGCAAGGAGCGAGTTGGCCATGTCGCCTAACATCATCTGGGAAGCGGCCTTGACACTCAACGCATCTTTTGCTCTCCCCTTGCAGGTTATTTTGACGCTCATTCTTTGGCCATGGATTTCATGAGCATTGGCTTCCGGGAGTGCTTGACAGAAGTCGCGAGGTACCTGACTTCGGTGGAAGGTCTCGACACGTCTGACCCGCTGCGTGTTAGACTCGTGTCTCACCTGAGCACCTGCGCCTCTCAGAGGGAAGCGGCCGCCATGACCTCCTCCATGGCCCACCACCACCACCACCCCTTGCACCCCCACCACTGGGCAGCCGCCTTTCACCACCTCCCGGCCGCTCTGCTGCAGCCCAACGGACTCCATGCCTCCGACGCTGCCCCGTGCAGACTCTCCTCGGACATGCCCCCCCACGGCTCCGCCCTGCTCACAGCCACCTTTGCCCACGCCGATGCCGCCCTCAGAGTCCCCTCCGCTGGCACCGTCGCTCCCTGTGTCCCTCCTCTCTCTACCTCCCTCTTGTCCCTCTCGGCTACCGTTCATGCCGCAGCGGCGGCAGCTA